CTTTTATATACAAGATTATTTTCGAGATAAGTTAGATTCTAAGTAAAAGTAAATCCAAATAGACATTAGATATTTTGTAGTTGCATGCATTACTTGCATTACAATAGATATAGATATATTTTGATTTATTTATGTAAAAATATATACAATTAAAAATATTTTCATATTATTAATTTAATAATTAATGTCATAGCACTTCGGGGGATTCCCTCTATCAAATTTTGGATATCCCTAAGACAGCAACGCCTGAAGAAATAAAGAAAACTTACAGAAAACTAGCGCTTAAATATCATCCTGATAAAAATCCAAATAATCCTGAAGCGGCAGAGAAGGTAAAACTTTTTCAATATATCAATGATATTAAGAGTTAATGTGTGCGCTTCAATTATTATAAATATATAAATACTTTCTTCCTCCCTGTATAACTTTTATATTAGCTACAAGGAACAAGACTGTGTTATTAAATTTTTGGTATGTCTTTAGCATCATCTTAAATTGCATTAACTTGTAATGTTTTTGTTTTATAGTTTAAGGAAATAAATAGAGCGCACGCCATATTAACGGATTTAACAAAACGCAATATATACGATAACTATGGATCTCTTGGCTTATACGTTGCCGAGCAATTTGGAGAAGAAAATGTTAATGCTTACTTTGTTGTAACTTCAGGATGGTGCAAAGTATGACTTGCTTTTTAACTGATTTATGTTATATATGTTAAATCTTATCTATAAATTAATTAACTTGTAAAATAATCCTTATTTTCAGGCACTACTTGTATTTTGTGCAATAATCACCGGTTGTTACTGTTGTGCCTGTTGTTGTTGTTGCTGCAACTGCTGTTGCGGGAAATGCAAACAGGCACCTCCTGAAGACAGTGGTACATACCATAATTTACAGGTAATATTATTTATCAATATCTTTTATACTAGTTTATCATATAAACTGTAACACAAAATTCAAACTTCAGGTCAATGCTTAGGTCAACAATACGTCTTCCATTATAGAGATATTAAATTATAAAAATGATTATATGATATTAAATGCATAAATTAGATTTCAATATTTTACAGCTTCCTATAGAATTCAATGTGAGTTTTAAAATGTTCTACGAGAAAATTGCCAATATATATATATATATATACAAGCTTTTTAATGTCTTGCACTAAACAGAAAATAACACTTTCATAATATATACATTGTGTAATGTAATTCGAATATAAAATCATGACAAATTTTCTGTTTCATCTAAGATATAATGAAATATGTGTTGCACCTAAGTCCAATCATCTAACTTAAAAGTATTTCAAAGTTATAATTCGGAGAAACAATTTTCAGGAATATTGTGTCAATAATTTTGAAAGTTTAGTGCTTATAACACTTTCAGGGCGTGTCATTTTATATGGCATTACAAAGATATAAAGTTTATAATTTAAGATCTCAAATTTAGTTAAAACAATATTCTTATATGGAATTTTTAATATGATGAAAGAAAAGTCATTGTTTAACAGTCTGTACAAAAGAAAAAATATTGTTTATAGGGTAAGAAAAGGACATTGTGAGTCAGTCTTCTAATTAAGCAATTCTTGTTCTCTTGTGTGCATTTTCAGCAAGAGCAACTCTTTCAAATCATATTTAGTACAATTTAAGATAATATTGATTCATCTGGTATTTGCCCTGCTTTGTTAATTCGATACCTTTCAGCACCCATTGATCACACATTCATCTTTTTATATTTCATCTTCATGGAGGTAGATACACTTTATTTAACGAGTAAAACATCATACTTGATTGTGCTTGTTATTCGCAAACCGGCACTATTTGTACATTGCACGCGAACATTTTCCATTGCCGAGCATGCGAGATTCTGCTTAGTTTTGCAGAAAGGCATACATAGACTAGCGGTTTTGTTTATGTTGTTGTTGTATTATAGCGGGACCAGAATCCGGAGGTCGATGTTGTGACAAGTCAACCCTTAGGGTTCTCAAAGGTAAGTTCTTCTCTGGAAACATTCAAAAACATATCCTTTGTCCACTCAATTTGATCACATTGACAAGTTTCAAGAACTCTTTTTTTTCTTAATATTATTATTTAGATATATTCATTAAGATTCTGCACTTTGAAATTTAAACTTGAAAACGTGATTGTATTTGTGTGAGACATTGCTTTCTTTCAATATTATTTTGCTTCTTATTCTTTTTCGTTAAATTATATAAAGGAAACATAAGCTATCATATGTTGAATGTTACTCTGCATGCATGATTAAAACATCCAATATAATTTCACGATTCTGAAATGTATATTGTAATACATCATATATCGCACATGTTCATTAATATGCTTATTTTTATAATTTTCAAACATATTTCTCCTATTTAATTAATACCTACGCAACGTTGTAATGATTAATATAGAATTTTAAGCTTGCAATTATTTTTACAAGAAATTTAAATTTATTCTCGTTAAATTCCGGACTAAACATCTTATCGACTGGCAAGTATAAGTCATTGATAGATCTAAAATGATTAAAATTTACCATTGTCATACACAATATTGCACGTTCAATTACAAGCTGCATTTTTTCATATTTTAGCATGCTCAAATTATTAACATATTATTTTGTATGCCAGATACAAAATATAAATATACCTTGATCCTGGGTAAAAATTTGAGAATAAAAACATAGAAATATTTTGATATTATACGATGTTACAGTACTGTTAGGCAAAATGTGATATATTGAAAAACTTCTTATTCTGTAAGACACGTACTGGAAGTGATCAATTTGTAGCAATGTAATTATTATTAAAAAAACAACCATACAATATTACTGACTCCACTTCAGATATTTGGATAAGTAACCATTTAAAAAAAAAAATTTCTATGAATTGCAGGAATAAGTAACATCGTCCTTTATAATTCTAAGCAAATTCTAAATGCATTCTTGAATAGGTTAGGTTCCTAGTCCAAACAAACCAATGATGCTTTTTTTAAACACCATAGAGTGCCGATAGTAATTACTTCTCATAATATACTTTTCTCTTAATGAAAGATATCTTTTTAAAGAAAACTTTTAAATATTTCTTTTTGATAGGAGGAAGAAAGTGACGAAGAACCAGTGACCGTTCAACCTCAGGGTGGTGCATCGCAGGGTGCAACTTCTAATCCTCAACAAGTCTTTGCCATGCCACCACCTCCATCTGCAGCTCCAGTGAACGAGAGTACGAACTTGAACAGTGGCGGAGAACGTGTGATTTATACTACCGGTATTTCAACTTCTTAAGTTTAGATGTAAAAAGTAGCCTTTACTTAGCACCAAGTTAATGTTGGCACTTTTGATATTTCTCTTTTTCTTGTATCATTCGATAATAGAAAAGGAGGATAAATGAGTGGCAAATAAGGAACAAGTCGTCCATCTAAATTTTTTAAAGTCATAATATGACGTAAATAGCACAAATTTAAAAAGCGTAAGCGTACTCTTTTAAATATTGCACAAAATAAATTCCAAATCGAAATAGAAGCTCGAATTTTGTCGGCGATGCCGAACACATGCGCTTATATTATTATTATTATTATTATTATTATTATTATTATTATTATTATTATTATTATTATTATTATTTTTCTATCTGACACAAGAAGTCCTATAAAAAGAAAAGAAAAAACAAAGCAGTACGTTTGTCATGAAATTACAAGTGAATAGATTTCGAGAAATCGTGAATAAATTCTTTATAGATCATAGTATCAAATATTCCAACTACTTGATATAGCTTTAAATTAATAATAACAATAATAATGAAAAATTATCGAGTGATATATGTAATCGTACGAAAAATATGATTAATTAATTATCACTAAAGACGTCTTGTGTTAATTTAATGATATATATGTTAATTGATTACCTGGTTAATAGCTGCTTCCATTTTTTAATTGTTTGGTGATTGTGTTTACGTATTTGTTTGCCTGAATTTATTTATCTCTATATTCATATACACGATTTCGTTTGCGTTTATATTCTCTTACTTTAGACGTACATACATACTTGGCTATTTAAATATTTTTCTTTCCTCTTTTCGCGGCTTTTTTGATTTATGTATTCATAGACAAAAATAATTTCTTAATGCGTAATCATTATATATAAGTTCTCCTTAATTATATGTAAATATATATAATAAATTTTGATTATTATTATTTTTTTAATCCGTCAAAGAAGAAGGGCGAATTAAAACGAAGCAACCAAAAAAAAAAAATATTTAATTTTCTTATAATTTTTGCGATTCTTTACATTTTATTTGTACTTATTTTCTTTGTCTTGTTTTTCTACCTTTGGTCAGCGATAATTTAAGCGTTTGAATATTGTCTATATCTTTAACGTGCTTAAACGCACAATTGACTTTTATAAATAATATATAACAACAAAATATATATCAAAATACTTTCTGTATTTAGATAGTACTAGCATTATTACACGAACTATCGCTGCCAAAGAAATTATCGATAGAAAAATGTTCTTTTTTTTGCATGTAATTATATATATTCTTCCTGATAAAGATAAAATAATTAATGTCATAAGAATTACCGTTGAAGTAATATCAAATGTATCTTGTTTTTAATCATTCTTTTAATAATTTACTTCTTGGTCAGTTTTTATCGTTTTTAAGATAAAATATGAGTTATATTATTTTTTTTTTATGCCATTAAAAAAAAAAAAAAAAGAGAGAAAAAAAAACAATTTAATCAATCATTCCTAGTAGTACTTATAACACAGTTTACTTTTGTATATAAGGAGAAATCTTATAAAGGCACAGCTTTAAACAGACTTAGTTGTAATTTGCATATATTGATTACAACCTTTATCTCATCCACATAAGCTATCCCTTTTTAAGTTGCTTATACCTCATATATATATATATATATATATATATATATATATATATATATATATATATATATATATATACACATATATATATGTATAATATTTGATTCATTCTCTTAATGAGGATAGACCAAATTTTATATCTAACTAAATTTTTCCTCCTAGCTGCTTCGACGAATCCTTTCATAGCATCAACAACTGGAGCAAGCATTGGTACAGGACCAACTAAATGGTAGTCGTCCATCGACTGAAAGAAAGAGAACTACTGATTAATAGCTACGTTGCGATAGATCATGATGATGATGATGATGATGATAAATAATCTATTTCCTAACGACTAAAGTCACAGACACTTGCGTAATTAATCAAATCGTCCGTGATGGAATTATTATGTGCTTCTTCTTCTTCTAATTACTATTACAATACACGACACATAAACTCTTTTCGCTTTTCTTTCTCTAGATTCTAAATGCTCGTGCTTTTTTCGAGAATTGAAAAAAAAGAAAAGAGAGAAACATAACAAAAAAAGAAAAAAGAAAGAAAGAAAGAAAACAAAAAAATATAATAATAATAATAATAATAATAATAATAATAATAATAAGCACTTAAATCGTTCTTCCCTTACATCGCACTTCCTTTATGTGTATTACTTAATTAATTCATTTATTAATTATTATTGTTAGCGAATGTATTACATCTCGTTTCTCTAATCTTGAATCAAAGAGAGAATTCATATTAAACGTCGCTCTTTTATGTTATCATTTCAAAAGTAGTAAATATATTATAAATTAACAATATTGTCTAAAATTTGCATTTTTGGTGGACATACAAACAAATAAAAAAAAAAAGAAAAAAAAAAAGAAGAAATAAAATAAAACAGATATTTTCACGATCGAAATAATATAATCGTTTTCAACATACTCTATTCGTTCTCTTTCGTCTAATGATAACAAAAAACTCTACCTATCAACGTGTCGAAAAAAGTTACATGTTCTTTTACATTATTCAAGAGAATACTTAGAAGATAAATCAAATTGTTTAGGATTAAGGAGAGGAAGAAATAAATTAAAAAAAAAAAAAAAAAAAAGAAAAAAAAAAAGAAAAAAAAAGCAAACAAAAGCGAAAATAATAATTACAAAAATAAAAAAAATAGTAAATATAATTTAAAAATTTGCAAAGTTCACTATATACGATGTCGCAACGATATAATACAAAAATATAAAATATCAAAAATCTCGGGATCGTTGTAATCTACTATGTTTGATGTACTGTTGAACGGTGCATTCCATTTAATTTTAAGAGTTTAACCTTACAAATCCTTCGAGTTATTTATGTACGATATACATATATATGAAATAATAAAAATGAAAAAAAAAAAAGAAAAAAAAACGAGATATCCTAATAAAGCTCTTAAAGCTATAGGGAGGAGAGATGGTTCGAAAGAATGATTAGATTAAAACGATGAAAAACTCGTGCTAACAATATAACAACAACAACAACAACAACAACGTCACAAAATATTTACGCACGTGTTTAGCTTATATACATAAATATATACATACATACATACTTCAAAAATTTATAAACTCAACATGAAGTCAATTCATTTGATTTATATATTCATTCATTTCGATTAGCCGATACGTAAGGAAGAATAAAAAAAAAAAAACGATAATCAATAAGACAATTCTTAGAGAATCATATTTCATTTGATGTATGTATGTGATTATAAAATAATGTGTAAACAAATGGAAGAAAAAAAAAATAATAAAATAATAATAATAATTAAAAAAATATATATATATAAAGACAAAATGCCTATGGTGCCATAATCGAAAATTAAACCAACAGTTAACGGACAAGATGATAATGATGATCATCGATTAGAAAGATTTAATACCTTACTTCTCCTATCAATCTCAAACTCATAAATTTCGAGTTAAGGATGTTGATAACAAAAGGATGATTAGATAACAAAAAATCCTTCAACTTTCAATAATCCTCGATGTTATACACATATATCAAATAATAATATCGTATGATTTGGCGTATATTAAGAAGACGATTAGAGTACCAAGCGAATTGCTACTTATTACTACTACAATAATAATAATAAATTAATGATGACGATGATGATGATAATAATAATAATACGTTAAAATAATTCCAAAAATTGTCTACTTTCTAATAAGCTTAGCTTAGAGTATGCTTAGATCTGTCGGGTACAGGCTGAAGAATTATTTTCAAATGTATAATATAATTAGTAGAGACGTCATGCGGTTGACAAAATTAGATCTATGAAGTTGACAATTTTTTGATTTACCTATACGTATACTATACTCGAAACGAATTTTAATATAAATTCGAAAAAATGCGGATGTTAAAAAAAAGAAAAAACTCGTTGAACAAGATACAGCATGTAAAATAAGTACATAAAAACATTTATATATATATACATATATATATATCACTTTCCTAATAATGATTATGATAATAATAATAATAATAATAATAATAATAATAATAATAATAATAATAATAATATTATTATTATTATATTTTATTAAATATAATAATATAATATAATATAATATAATATAATATAATATAATAATAATATTATTATTATTATCTTTGCTTATCATAATATTATTATTATTAGGAAAGTATTTATGAATTAAATGTTTTAAAAAACACTCATTTTTTTCTAAATTACTCGGTATAACGTAATCTAATACTTTTAACGATTTCACGAAAACGTATACCTTTTTTTTATCATATCTTTGTTAATTTTAACACATGTACAATCTTAATTGTTGATTTTATCTATAAACAGATACTTTTTCTCTCATTTTTTTTTTTTTTGAATCCATCAATGAAATTTGTTAACGATTTATTTATAAACTAAGCTTTTATTGTAAGGTTGTATCTAATAAATCATTATTGAAACTGATTGTAATAATGTCAAGACTCAATATGTTGATTAACGCAGCGAATGATAAAAGTGCACATAATGCAAGAAAATTGAAGACATACTAGATTAATTATTTTATTCAAAAGAATTAAATCGTCTTAGATAATTTATTAAGGCACACAGATTTCGCAATTTTCATTGAGACCATTTTTTATAATCTCTGATTGCATTTACATTATGATGAATATTGATTTATTAAGTGCTTTTAAACTTTTTATCAAATGTTCCATGTTCCAATCTTCTATATTATATCCAATATACATATACAAATAAATAGTATGCATTTGTAGATAGTTTCATATTTAATATACTGTGCTTTGTTTCTCATATATAAAATATGTATTATTGTATAATATGGGTATATATTGTTATTATTATTATTATTATCACTAGATAATATATATATATATATATATATATATATACATACATACATACATACATACATATATATATAATATATTGTATTTGTGGAAGATTAAAAGGTCATTGTAAAATCATGTAACAAAGTATAAAGATTGTAAATAAAATAGGCAATACTAACCTTTAAAAATATTGTTCCTGCTAGATATGAAATAGTAGAAAAAAAAAGAAAAAGAACAAAGAACTATAATTACAATTAAAAACTTAACTCACTTGAATAGAGAGAAATCTATTATAGTCTTTCATTAGATATTTCAGTTTTATAAGTCTTATTCTCTTGTTACTACAGTTTAATAACTTTGATAACTCTATCCTTATTTATTGCAAAAGTAAAACAATCTAAAACAATTATAATATATTAAAATCTTTTGCATTTTACCAAATGTATCCAATGATAAATAATGAACTTCTTAGTAATTAATAAATAAATGAACTTATACTCTAAGATATTCCATCTGAAATATGATGAATAAAACCTATGGACCAATAACTCTAAAAATTGATATTTTACAACTGCTAACGTTTCTAGTATTCTGTAGGATAAAGAATTTTCCTATACAAAAGGTTTTCCTGCATAAGGATTCTGCAAATACGCTTTCATTCATGATTGAAATCAATAAAAATAATGTCGATCAACAAATACTTTATCATTAACTTATCATAATAATTTACATTATGAAATAAGCTTTAAGAATAGTTAATTGATTGGAACTGACAATATATATATATAGCAAATTTCTGTATATATTCTTTAAAATATCATAAATTTATTTTTCAGATTTATGGGATAGATTCAAAGTTTACATAGACTTTCAATTCTACATCAGAAGAATTATCCTTTAATAGTGATTTAGTTCATTACTTTTTTCATCTGACGAATTACTAATTAATAATTAATAATTACAGAGATCATTTCATTTACTATTACACGCATATATCACTTGAATTAGAATAAGTCAAATTTTATACTTACACATTGTTTTTATTATTATAAATTATCTTATTAATTGAATTCTCTTCTACAAATACCTCGGCTATATTAAAACGATTCGTGTCGAACAAAAATCTATAAAATTATCAATTTTCACAAGGCACACAATGTTTACTCCGTCACATCTACACCTAAACGATAGTTCGTCAAATAGACCGTAGCCAGACATAAGTACCTAAGTAGATATCATAGAAGCAATAGTACCGTTGTTTAAAGATTGACATTAGTCATACTGAACTGATTCATAGGAAGGAGTTGTACAAAGGAAAGAATATCTAGACGGAAAACCCCATAACTTTCTCCATGTACACATAGAAAATCCTGAACACGCCATCTATGAATAAATAGAAATCGCTTCCTAATTTAAAGATAATATCTAGGAGAAAGAAAAAAAAAAGAAAAAGGAAAAAAAAAAAAAAAGTACTTTTACATCAATAACGTTAAAAAAGTTACAAATTACAAATAAAAAAAATCCTTAATTACTTTAAAAAAAAAAAACCAAAATGAATACTAACACAATTTGTTGAATATAAGATCAATATTTTCTCACATATTTAGTACCTCATATTTTGAAGAATGTAACTCGATCTCATATTCACCATGTTACATATTAAGTTAAAGAGGAGATGATTCATTCGTAAAACGTTTGGCCGATACCATAGAGAAGATTTTGAAGGAGCTGTTAGAAAGAAAGAGAGAAAAAAAAAGAGAAAGAGAGAGGAGAAGAGTTGGTGGTTGAAGAAAGAAGATGAGACGATTGGTCTTGTCGGAGACGGCGAGGGGCCGCCAAGAGGATCGGGGAGGGTTTTAACGGAGGGGATCGGATCCGCTCGGCGGGCCGGCCGGCGGCAACAGAGGTGGTCAAGGAAGGAAGGAGGGAAAGAGCAGAGAGTAGAGTAGTGAAGAGAAGGAAAAGGGGAAGGAGGACGAAGCTGTTGGCGAACGGGCCTGAGTAGGTTGGATCGAAGGGGCCACAGCTCTCGACACATTGCTTCGTGACGACGTATCGTCATCGTTTTTCGTTCTCAACAAATTTCTAAGATCGCGATTATAAGTTACAATTCTTTTCGAGAGATACGTTTATGTCAATCTCTCTATCTTTCTCTCTTTCTCTTTTTCTCTCTCTCTCTCTCTCTCTCTCTCTCTCTCTCTCTCTATCTACCTCTCTCTCTCTCTTTTTCTCCCTCTTATATACGAATGTCGTCACACGTCGCGGTGAAACTCGGGCTGTCGGATCGACTTACGCATCTATATTTATACGGACGCAGGTGAAAACGCGTTAGATAGATAGATAGAGACAGATATAGATAGAAAAAGAGAAAGAGAAAGAAAGAGAGAGAGAGAGAGAGAGAGACACGTAGGAATCGCGGATACGACAGGTTCGTCGTTACGACTCTTGACTCGCGATATACGATTCAAGCGCTCGCTCGCTCGACTCGCAGAGGAATATAACCGACGTGCGTGCCAGTGTGTATCGGTGGGTGTGGGGGCAGGAGCAGGAGGAGGAGGAGGAGGAGGAGAACGGGAGAAAAAGGAGGAAGGGAGGGAGGGAGGGAGTGAGGGAGGGAGAGCGAGAGAGAGAGATACCTGTGGAGAGACGACGGCTGGAAACCCATAGTTGTGTAGTAGCATGCTGCTGCTCCGTGGAAAAGGGAGTGGAATATAAATAATTGAGACTCTCGGAGATTTTCGAATAAAAAAAGAAGACACAAGAGAAGAAAAGAAAAGATACGAAGAATAATAATAAGAAGAGGAATACCACCACCGAGTTCCTTCTCACTCGTTCGAAAGTGCCTTTTCGCGCTTTTTACATTCGGCCCGTGGGAGATTCGCGTGGAGAGAGAGAGAGAGAGAGAGAGAGAGAAAGAGAGAGAGAGAGAGAGAGAGAAAGAAAGAGAAAGAGAGAGAGAGACATAGAGAGAGAGAGAGAGAGAGAGAAAACGGGAGAGAGAGAGAGAGAGATAGAGAGAGAAAAGTTTACAGTGGTGGTACTGAGTGTGCCTACGAGTGCGAGAGAGTGAGCTTACGAGTTTGCGGTGTACGGGACTCGTTGAGATGTCGTGGCTGCTCGTACTACGGACTTACGATTGAAGAGAGTTAGGTGAGCGAACGATTTTTAACGCGTTTGCGAGTACGAGAGGAAGAGGATAATATAACGGGAGGATGGCGGACGGTAGGAAGAATCCTTTCTCTCTCTCTCTCTCTCTCTCTCTCTCTCTCTCTCTCTCTCTCTCTCTCTCCTTCTCTGTCTTTCTCTGTCTCTATGTATCTATCTATCTATCTCGTTTTTACGAATATCTTTTTCATTTTCATCTTCGTCCAAGATCCCACTTCGACCCACTTCCTTCATCTTATCATCATCGTCGTCTTTGTCGTCATCTTCGTCGTTGTCCGTTTAGTATCTCTTCTCACGGACCAGATTACTTTGGACGATGACGTGCTCGCTGTTGCTGTTGCTGCTTCTGCTGCTGCTGCTGCTGCTGCTGCTGCTGCTGCTGCTGCTACTCCTGCTCCTGCTCCTGTTCCTGCTCCTGCTCCTACTCCTGCCAATCCTCCTCCCTCCGTGTTGATGACTTTACACAACACGTAACAAGCGCGTATCTTCTTCTCTTTCATGTAGAAATGATAATCGATAGATTGTGTGCACGAAGTTTCCTAGATCTCATTATTATCCCTAAAAATGAAAGAAAAAGTTATAAAAAATTTCATTTTTCTTGAGTCAGACATAGAAAGATATACATTGTAAGTTACGTATGAGAAACAAAGTATAAAGTAGAAAGATAAAAGAATTTGAATTGGAGGGGTCAGAGGAAAGGCATTTTGTAGGAGCGCGTGGGAGGTCCTCTTCTCGAAAGTGCCTCTTCTCCTCTAACCACATTTTCCTTTCCATTTGGGTCGAGCTGCTGCTTACCTGAGTACCTTGACTCGGCTAGACTTGTGAGATAGAAAACGATAGGGGAGGATAGGGTGCAGAGAGAGAAAGAGAGAAAAAAGAGAGAGAGAGAGAGAGAGAGAGAGAGAGAGAGAGAGAGAAGGAAAGAGAAAAAAAGAGAGAGAAAGAGACCGCTAGATCTTAAGTGACGTTATTATCTCGAGGACGCTTTTTCGCAGGTCGTTCGTTGAAACGACGGTAGGTAGACCAAAGATCAGCAACAACAGCAGCCTCTCTTTTGATGTTGTTGGCATAATGCTGCAACGTGTGGAATGCGAGCGTGACGCCTTTTCCGCGCGAATGCGTTCGCGGATAAATCCATTGTCCTTGAAAAACGAGTCGGCGGCACGTCGTGTGGCTGTGTTGAAGCCGTTCGAAGAAAGGACTTCGAGATATTACTTAATGTCCGTCGTAGGAGCGCTCGCCTCCTCGGCACTCGGAGATCGCAAGAGTCAGCAGACAGCTTGGCTCTGCTCCCACTCCTCTCCTTGTACCACTATATCTTTCTCTTTTTCTTCTCCCCTTCTCTCTCTTCCTGTCTCTCTCTCCCTCTCTCACCCTCGCCAACGCGAGCTCCAAGCATGCTGCTACATTAAATATCCCTTTCTCTCTCCTCCTACGTCATCGTTGGATCTTTCCTCTTCTCTCTTATTCTTCCATACGTGATGGACCATTGTTTTTCAGCTCTTTTTTTCTTCTCGTTTTTTTTTTTGGTTTTTGTTTTTTTTTTCTTCTTTTAGCCTTTTGCGAACGGTCAGTAACAACGACGGACGCCGCCGTCTTAGCGAATTTTGCGTTCCATCGTTCCCCATTCGGATTTATTCAAGTAAATAGAGAAAGAAGCGTCATTTTGCAGTTTTCATAGAAACATTCTGAAAAAGAAATTCCATCGATGAAAAATCACGGCAATCAAGTAAAGATATCGTGTTACGCGTTCGTAACTTGAAAATAAGATATTTCGCAATCTTATGGAAATCTTAACCTTGGCGCGCGCGTACGAGAGAAACAACATTTAAGTTTTTCAACACGTTACAGAGATATTTATTAAAGCGAATGATTCACGTGTATAAGTGGACGGCGCTTCTTGTTAGTCATTCCTAAGCAATTTACGCGGATTCTTACGCGAAACATCTGCGAATGAAAGAAGACGAATTCTGTTTAGCATATAATTCTTCATCTCATTGTTTCTATCGATACCAACACTTTTAACGTTTCAATCATAAAAATGAGGAACGCGCGAAACCGTTTAACTTTTGAAATACGATGTGTTCGTCTTTTCTTTTCTTCTTCTTTTTTCTTTTTTTTTTTTCTTTCTTTAAAAAACCTAAATATACCCTTGCAAGAAAGGAATGGATTTTATCGACTTTCGTAGAAAAGAAAGGAGAAAATAATTATCTAGACCACCTATATCGTTCTCTCTATCTCGTTTAGGACAAGCTTTTATATTACTACGTATGCGATGGACCACTCGGGGACGCCATTTTAAAAGTGGCGGGAAATCAACGAATTCAAACAAAACCAACGATAATCGTAGAACGTTGCAATGATCTTAATTTTCTATATCATTTCCATTCAATTTTCTTATCTTCTCGTCCGTTAATCTTCCACGTATTTTTCTTCAATATATTTCGACGTAACTATTCTTACCCATTGCATGTTATATATAGAAACTTGCGTGAATGTTTCAGGAAAGATAACGTCGGTGGGTGACGTCGTCACGATGCGCATGTTGCTACTGATAAGATTGACGTTAGTGACAGCAGGCGTGCTGCTAACGAATTCAAACGCGAGTCCAAACACGAAGGTACACCTGCAGATCAATTCAAAGACAGGGAAACACATTGGCATCCAGGATCGTGAACAAGTGATTGCTGGTATGGAAGCCAGCCTCCTTTCCCTTTTAGGTTTCTCTAAAAGGCCTAAACCCCAGGGTCCGGTTTATGTGCCGGAATCTCTGCGAAAGCTTTACGTTCGGCAGAATTCCATTGGCGTGGCGGACATCGCAAAACCAGGAATTCACACACGATCGGCGAACACAGTTCGTTCCTTCTTTCATGTCGGTTAGTATCCTTCTTAAGTTCCTTATCGTTGAACATATTTCAGACGAAAAAGACGTTGAAGACATTTCTATGGCTAAAAGATATACTGGTCGAACAAGTGCTTTTTCGACGGTGACTCATTTGCAGCTTTATGAGAGATCCTTTTTTATCGCGTAAAAGTTAAGCGTTGGTGTGCGTGCGTGCATGATGATGTAGTCCAAAAATAGAAAATAGAGCGACGTAAAGGTAAATCGTTATCGTAGATAATTATCATTATCCTTTGTTCCTTTTTTTCCAGAGAGTGAACTGGACGAAAAGTTTCGCCTGCCAAATCGATTTCGTCTCTCGTTTGACCTAAGGAGAATACCATTGGGTGAGAAGTTGCAAGCGGCTGAGTTGAGTCTTTCACGTATTGCGATAACCGAGGAAGATGATTCAAACGGACCAAGGCATGGAAGAGTACTTGTTTACGATATCGTTCGTCCAGGGATAAAGGGACGAAGTATGCCAATACTAAGATTGGTCGATAGCAAGGTGATAGATCTAAGGAAAAATGCCACGGTCAATTTGGATGTCCATCCGGCGGTAGAAAGGTGGATGAAGAATCACAAAAGCAATTACGGTCTTCTCGTTCATGTGATGACTGGCTCGAAGAAATTAGAAAAGCAACATGTTAGACTAAAACGTAGTATCGACGAACAGAACGAGACATGGGTGATCAATCGTCCAATGTTATTCACTTACATGGACGACGGTAGATACAAAATGACTTCTGGCAAGCAGATCTTGGATAGACGTGCCAGACGGGCAGCTTTAAGAAAGAACAGACGAAAGGATGGTCGAGAGAATTGTCGTCGACATCCGCTCTACGTTGACTTCGCCGACGTCGGTTGGAACGATTGGATTGTTGCTCCTCCCGGATACGACGCCTTCTATTGCCACGGAGATTGCCCGTTTCCTTTGGCGGATCATCTGAACTCGACTAATCACGCGATCGTCCAGAACTTGGTCTACTCGACGAAACCAAGCATGGTTCCGAAAGCATGTTGTGTGCCTACGGCCTTGAGCTCGATAAGTATGCTCTATCTTGACGAGGAAAACAAGGTTGTCTTGAAGAATTATCAGGACATGGCAGTCTTGGGTTGTGGGTGTCGTTAGATCTGTATGAACTTCAAAATCAATCCAAATTCTCTCTCTTTTTCGAGAGAACAATTGATCGATGTGCGATATAGACGCTTTTCTTTTAAGATCTTTAATATCGTATTTAAGGAGAAGGCTCATTTCTAACAGACATCTAAAAAAGAATATAAAGAATAAATTGTTAGAAAGAGTGAGAGACTGTTGAGTATAGAGACTCCGTTCTCTATACGGTATATTTTTATAATCCATTCTTTCTAGACGATGAACGATTATGCAAAAGTGTGTGCATGTGGTATGCCTGAGTGTGTATAATCCTTTCGCGTTTATTGCGATTTCGATAAATAAAAAGAATAATTGGAAAAGTTTTTATTAAAAAAAAAAAAAAAAAGAAAAAAAGAAAAAAAAAAGAAAAAAAAAGAAAAAAGAAATCAAATAACGAAAACTATTATCCCTTGATTATCTTTATGATCTATTGGGAATATAGATCCGTATCGTTCTACAGATCATAATCAAAACTATAGACTACAAAAGAACACACAAGTTAAAGAAGAAGAAAAGTGCATGTGCCTATAAGGACTTTTTTTTTTTTTTAATTTTCTTACACAACATGCCGTCCTATATGTCTTGTTTAATTTCATTCCATCTCTTTTTATCATATTGTCAACGAAAGATAATGGAATATAACGAGCATGTATCACTGTGGAAAGGCAGGAAACGTTGAAAGAGTGACGGCAGAATGAGTTGAGAAACATATTATATATTCGAAGGATAAGTATCGATCTTCTTGATCTTTATGAAAGATCTTCTAGAAAAAGACAATATTATTTTTGTTCTCTCAAGAGTAACACACATACAAAAATAATCCATTAGTTCGATAACACAAATTGATCCTTTCATAGCGAATATGTTAAAAAGTTATGAAAAGTATCAACATAGCAATCAATGATAAATAATAATAATAATAATAATAATAATAATAATAATAATAATAATAATAATAAATAAATAAATAAATAAATAAATAAATAAATAAATAATTTTATATACACGCAAAGCAAACGAAATGACAAATGTGTGCCATGATCATGTGTACAACGTATAAAATTCAAAGTAAACTAATAATGAGAATAGAATATTCGTCCACATAGAACCGCGATACGTGCGCATATGCAATTATACTTAAGCGAACAATTAAAGTTTGCTTAAAGCATGTAATGTATAATTATGTAGGCACATATAGAGAATTCCTGCCGCCTCAAATAAATTGTACCTGCCTACCTAAGGATTACTATTTATTATTTTTGCCAAAAGAAAAAAAGAAAAAGAAAAAAAAAAAAAAAAAAAAAAAAAAAAAGAAACGTGTGTATATTTGTACAAACAGAAGGGTGTTAATGATAAGTGTATTTGTAAAATGTATAAAGTATAAGTAAACGATAGTAGGCGACGAAAAAGTACATGTAAACATTGTAAATAATGCATTTGTAAAGTATCATAAACATGTATATTCTATGACATATCCTTATCTGTTATAATATTTTACCCAAATTGTACACAGAATACAGGTGTAAATACAGATTTTTCATCCAATATGGTAATTTATTAGAAAATAGACATTTGCAGAACAAAAAAAAAACCAATTTGCGAAATTAATAATTAACACTTTCATTTTTTATAAGCAAGCGAAGAAAAAAAAACAAAAAAGAAAAAAAAAATGACAGCATGTTCGAGAAGGAAGAGGGAACAACGTAACAATTTTTTACTCCGAAGATGTTTAAACAAATGCACTATTGTTTGTTTACTACTAAATTATATTAAAATATTACATATGCATTATACATTGTTTAAAGAAATATCAAAGAATTAAAAGCATTTATTAATCATACCTCTGCATAAAAGAAGGAACTTACGATGATCATTCATCGGAATACATAAGAAAACAGGATTCGATAATTATCCAAATTGTCCATGTGTTTGTTTTGATTTATATTATCGATTTGCATCAATTTGGAATTTAAATTTAATACCTAATGAAATTTCAGATCAAAATTATTTTATATTCATGGAAAGTTAAATGCTATACAAGACACGTGCATTATATAAAGTGTTTAAATAAATGTATAATGTTTATAAATATTAATTATTTAAGATATGAATATAGATGGAAAAACTTATGATTCTTATTCATTGAAATCCAACAGCAAACTGACTCGAGAACTGTCCAAATCATTCATACGCACGTTTTTGTCTACAGTATTAATTATCATCGACTCGGAGTTTCAAATTTGAATCTGATTAAATTTTACATGACAATTACTTTCTATAAAAGTTAATTCATGGATATGTAATGTTCAATTATTTTATATTTTTTATATACAATAAATAGAAATATAATTTGTTCTATAACGCAAAGACTCGACTATACTTCAAAATGAAAAATTGACTCTACTTTTAAAAAATTCAATGACTCAATTTTACTTTAATAAAAATTTACAAGAATTCTATTAATTAACTAACTGTAAAAACTTGACCCTAATCGCAAAGATTCTAATTTTTCACGAATGCAAGTGCGGAATATAGTAGCAAGGAAATGAAACGATCCATCATCTCCATTCAGAATTAAACTACACTACTATGATTATAAATGTCAACGTGGTAAAAAAATAAAAAGAATATTCATAAGATCACAAGCCATTAACGAAGAGTTCGACATGCCGACCTTCTCCAAAAAATGACTTGCAGTCCATAGTTGAGTCACAGTTTGTGGGGGCCTCTTCAACATATAGCCTCTTCTTGCTTCATGCCCTAACCACTTTATTGGAGCATTCTCTACGTGCAACACAAGAAAAATTTACGCATCCACAAATGCCCTGTCGTTTAACGCAACACATCCACAAGAATTTATTTATTTATTTATTTATTTATTTAATTAAAAAATTAATAATAAATAAAGATTCATTGATATTTGATTTGTCCCATAAAGCTATCCTAGCCTTCAGGAATACTCAATAGACTCAGAGAATCCACCAACCGTACACATCACATTGCTACACAGGCACAAATGCTCCAACAGTTATAATATTCATTCTAATCGATGAACCTATTACAAACTAAAATTAATTCCTCGCACTTTGAAGATGAAAAGGTATCGGTAAAAAGTGAAGTGATTATAAAAGTTATAATATTTTCATTTTATGTCTACAGATTTTTTATGTATGAATAAAAATATTGTGAATATTATTCTAGAAAATGCAAAGTACAAGTGTTAATATACTTATAATTAATTATCAAAATAATTCAAAATTCTTTGCTAAGTTCAAAAGATATGTCTAATGTTCTCACTTAATGCAATTAGACATGTTCAATAAGATGTCTAATGTTTTCATTTGATGCAAAGTTTTTCAAATTATTTGATACTATGATAATTATATCACCAATGTAAAGCAACAGCAAAAGATGAAAAAATATAGATATGCTGAAAGATTCTGAATTGGTGAATTGATGAAAATTTGTTGAAACTTCACAAATCCTCAGAGACATCTTCTCTCTTCTGAGTGAGAAATATATCCTACATCTTATCCCTACTTAGTTACTTAAAATTAAGTGACATGTTCACTTAGAAAAGGTATATTACTTATCTACCTATCTATATATTTGAAAAGAATAAAACATATATACCAACACATACTCTCCACGATTCTCTCATATACTACCAGAGTACAAAAAATCTACACTAGAGAGTATACTCCAGAGCCCCCTAACACCCTAACTCAACCAGATGTTCTAACTTACATGCTAATATAAGTACATATCTATTGATGTAATTGGCTAATAAGATTAATGATTATTGCATAAATGACTTAAGGAAACATACTAGTACATATTAGAGTATATATACATATTAATAATATACGAGTATTACAAAGTTTTACAAAATGTGATGACTCTACTATGCATAATGATATTAATAATAACTTATTAGATATATAAGATATTTATTTATATAAAAGTTATTGTGAAACGATGTAAAATGCATCATCTAAAACCCACACACAGAAGTAAAATACATTGTGCAATCACCAGCACAATGACAGCTGCCAAGGAAGAAACTTAAAACTAAATCTAGACTAACTGTTTCTTACGTAGAGAAGTAACAACTAAACACATGCATAGATAAGAATGCAGAAAGCATAAGAGAGAAATGGGAATTAGTATAATTAGTATTGAAAATCCTTAGCTAAAAATGATTAACTTATAAACTAGATCTAAGTGGACTATAACTCTACAAGTCTCATTGCTTTTCAGTAATGATATTTATACAAAGATAGATGATAACTAAATATAAGAGATTTCAAAATTCTTAGTAAAGCTATGTTTCAAGTAAAGTAAAACTCATTTTTAAATAAATTTACTGAAATATTTAATGTCATGTAAAAAACTAATGTTTTAATAAAACTAATGTTTAATGAAAGGAATTGTTTATTAAGTAGCTGTTCTAATGAAAGAACTAGATCATGATCATCCACTTAATTGGCAGAATGTATTCTTCGCAGAGATTTCCTTTGATATATCGATATTGATGTATGACCAAGTATGAAGTAATGCGTAAACTATATCACATGTTCTTTCTTTATTGATGAAATCAGATAAACGAATGCCCTATTTCAACACTACTATCATGAATAAAAATGAAGAGAAAAGATACTAATTAATTGCACTGTAAATTATACAACCCGATGAAACAAATATATCAAAATATATCAACCTGATGAAACAAGATGATCTTTATCTGATATATAATAGTAAAAAATTAACATGAGAAAAAACTGCACATATAAGAAACTACTCATAAGTGAAACCAAAAGGTTTTACTTACAGGCACTTTTATTCTCTTAGGACAGAACACATCTATAATTACAACCAGTTACTCATGCCAATATGAATTTTTTATCCTTGGCATGATGGACACCGGAAGAACTTAAAATTTTTGTACTTACTAATTAAGAATTTCTGCGATGTCTCCAAAAAACTTGTCTCTCTCAATGTAGATTGAATGATGTCATGGAGTTGGTTGATCTGTAATTAATAAAATAACACAAAAGCAGATTAATTATTTGTTCCATATCAAAAGAATATTTTCAATTAATGAAAATAATTAACAAAAAGAGGACTTAAATAATAAATGGAAAGTAACGATTAAGAGAAAGAAAAATACTTACATATAATTTTATCCAAACGAAGCTTTATATTCGTTGATAAAGATGTAGATGAAAAATTTTTTAATTCACATAACGCGACGAACGAATTGTTTTAACAAGAATATTACATGAAATTCTTGCGTTGATTTATTAACACGACCGAAGAATTTTCTTCGTTGAACAACACTGAATTTAATTTGCGAATTTATTTCATTTTTAAGACAACCTATTTGGTTAGAGAAACTCGAAATTTTTTCGCATAAACACTGACTCTAAGATCGCATGGCGCACGATGAACAATTAAATTTTTATTTAATAAAAAAAGAAAAAAAAAAAGGAAAAAAAAAAAGAAAAAAAGAAAAAAAAAGATATTTGTCTTTAACTTCAAAAAAAAAAAAAAAAAAAACATGAGAACGTCTTGTCCCGCTTAAACATCTTTTTTATTCCAAGCTGTCAATTTGATAGAAGGGGTAAACTAAAAAGCAAATTAAATTTCGTTAAGTATTTTAAAATGCGTAATAAAAGCGATAATTTCGTCTTGCCTGTTACGCAAACAGATCGTGACTTGTTTCGAATGTAGTATCGTATTAATCTGTAATTCTCCCTTCCACTCGGTCAGCCAAGTGATTTTTGTTTACATACTTGTTAAAGGACGAATTTTCTACCAAGGCCAATGCCTCGTGATTGTTTCTCGTTTCATTCATACGCCGAGTGTTATTTCTCTCTCTCTTTCTATCTCTTTTTCTCTCCTTCTCTCTCTCTTGCTCTTTCTCTCTCTCTCTCTCTCACTCTCTTTTTATCCCTCTCCTATCAAATGACGCGTAAAAGAAATAAACTTACTTCTATATAAGACGAAGATGGTCAGCTACGTGTATTAAAAGTATCCTGTCGGCTGTGTCTATTCGAACGTATAAAAAATCTGAAAAATATACAATCGTCTGGTAGAGTATAATATTTTATCTTATATGTCATATATACGTGTATATATATATATTTAATATAATATAAAAATGAAAGTATGAATATATAATATATTATTAATTGTTTGTTAATTAATATATACATAATTATATTATTCGTATATATGTAGGTGTATGAAAAATAAATATAATACAAAATTCGATAGTTCAAAGCCAATTAACAAACATTTGTTTAATTACTACATCGTTAACAAGTAAGATAATCATGTCTATTACGAAAATAATATTGGAAAATTCAAAAAAGTTATTACCTTGTAACTGTTACAGGGGACAGTCGATTAGTCGATTTCTTTTTTCGCGGATATTTCTTAAATGCGACGAGGTTTCGATTTGCGAATAATATATTTAAGAAAGTGTATTTTAAGGAATCAATTTTAATATTGAAGAACGGTGTTCGTTAGAAAAAAAAAAAAATATGCTACTTGTAATTAAGAGGAAGACTTAAACGACATGCAACCTGTTGAGACCGGTAAAATTCAAAATGGCATCTTCACCACCGGCATAAGATTTACTTGGAACCCTTACCTTCCTGCTTTAGGCGCCAAAAATTAATTCACTTCTTTTAGCTATTATTATATAAAATTAAATATAAAAATAAATATTCATTGAACAAACTATATTTTTATATATACGCTAGAATGGTTTATGTTTTATGTTCATGAAAATTATTTCATTGTTTGTTTGATTATATGCGTAAATAGTTGATGCTCAGATTTTTTGAATATTTTCAAACATAAAGAAATAGATTTCACGATATTCGTATGAAGAAGTTATGGTAACTTACTCAATTATTTTAATAAGCTTTGGCCAAAGATTTTATGGCCAAAATAAGAAAATACATGTTCAATCGTTTATGTCAAAAGATCTGAATTTTTAAAATATTGTTAAATTTTGGAAAAATTTCTAGTTTCTTTTAGATTTTATTAAGTAATAAGATAAACTGACCGAAAGCATCTGTATTCGTAATTTGAGAATTGTAAGTTCAAGGCTTAAATAATTTTCCGGTGCTTTTTTTTTTTTGATATTTTTAAGTTTTAATTTTTCTTTATGAATTCATTTATGAGCCATCGCAGTAACAATCTTATTATTAATGCATCCCAACATACAGTTAATGCGGACAGCCAAAAATGGTTTGAAATAAAATCTGCATACATTGTGAATACGAGTACTATTTATTTAATAATTTTATTATATACTTATTTGCATTAAATAATATACAATTATTTTATCATTTTATGAGAAATCACATATTGAAATATACATCATTATATTTTTTTTATATTTATAATTTTTGTTTTAAATAGTTGTTTAAAGTTATTTTCTTTGATTGTTTTAAATAGTAATTTAATGCAATAAGAATATCACGTCATTGAACAAATTATACTTCTATTTATTGTATATAAAAAATATAAAATAATTAAACATTACATATCCATGAATTAACATGTTTTAAATATAAAGTGGTTGTAATATGAAGTTATATATTTCAAGGATAGATAGCGCTGTATCAATTTTCTTCTTTGAACACTACATTAGAAAAACTGCGATTACTATTTTACCGACGTTTATTTTACAATTTATCTTTGGATTTTTTAAGATTGTTGATAAAAATGCTTTCAAGAATGTATCTCATGGTAATGTTGCAGAAATGCATTACCACCCTGAACTGTAACTAAATGAGTAGCGCACTCTATAAGTTTCTAACACTTATGTGAATACAAAACACACGCGTGCTCGCCCGTGCGCATTCATACATATATAAAATTAGAAAATAATTGTGATTATATAAACGATAATAATAATCCTTTATTGTAATCGTGATAAACATATTTACTAAAGCACTTTTATTTCTCGACAGAGTTATATTTTATTTGATAAATAAAATTGTTAAAGGTTTTGCAAAAATTTCTATAGATAATGTTATTTTTTTTTTATTTTTCGAAAAGAACCTTTATCATTGATCACGATAAGCGTAGATTACAGTACTAACGCCATAAAAGTTATTCAAGATCGATCAAACGTATGCTTATTGTATTATCTTCGTTAGAAACTGCACGGAACGAGATAGCAATTAGAAAAATTAGAAAATAAAATTTCGAATAAAATAGAAAGAAAAAAGAAGGAAACCTTGATAATATCCACGCTATTGATTATTACTATTAAAACAAAAATTCGTATATGAGTCGATAATTAATAATTTCTTGAAGAAATTAATTTCGTTTTCGTTCGTTTCGTAAATATTCAATGAAAATTTCGTAAATTGATGATTAACAGAAAATTGTTTAAGGTATTAGGATACTATAGGGTTGCTTCTACACGTAAATACGGATATTAAAAAGAAATATTTATCTGTGCACTCGTAGCGTAAACCTTGTTCGGGAGCACTTGTCCGCTAAGCCTGAACACTTCATCTCAAGGGTCTCTTGTCATTAGCAAATCATAAGGTGCAGCCGATTGTCAAGTAGTAACAATTAATAATTTATCTTTCGTAATGAACACTCCAATGCATATATAAAATTCTTTTAATCCCTTTTGCATCCATGAAGAAAATATTGCACTATAAATCGAAAAACAATGACTTAAAAACAAGAAAGAGAAACATTTCAAAATCCTATTCATCTTCTTTTCTCTCTCAAACATTTTCTCCTTTCCGAGTTAACAATTAATCTATCAACAATATCCTGCAACTTTATCAATGATAGAAGAGATTATTATTTTATTAATACACTGATCGAACTTTCTATCTCTTTTGAAATCTATCTCTATCATGTGTTCTTAGAAAAAATAACACATTATTAGTTTTCTATATCTTGGAATCATTACACGTGTTAGATACGATGATCATTTTTATTATTATTATATAAAGATATATACTTGAATTTTTTTTTCTAGCTACAAGAAAAAAAAGAAAAAAGAAAAAAAAAAAAAGAAAAAAAAGAAAAAAAAAAAAAAGAAAAGAAAAAACTTTTTAATAATTTAACAGTATAATATGTCATAAATATATTGTTGAACTCGTTAAAAGAAATTTTGCATGTTAATATCAACAGTAACAATATTTCTGTATCTGTCATATTAAGTGTTTAAATATAATCACCCTATCATTCTTTATTTATCATGACGACAATACATACAAACGATAACAATATTGATTGTTGTAATTCAAGTAATAGACGTATCGAGTTTGACGAAATAAAGACTTTGGTATTTGGGCCTCCTTCCTGTGTTACGGCTGACGGTAGTCAAACTAATCTATATAGGGTGTTATCAAATAGATAACGTTGCCAGAGTGCCTATCTGGAAGCCATATTTTTGATACAATGTACAGGTGATCGATATATCGCTACATAGTTCTCAGTAAGTGGGAACAACTAAACGGAATTGGTTGCTTAGAAAGCAAAATGATCGGATATGAGTTGTCTGTCGCTGTGATAAAATTTTGTGATGCTTTTTGAAAGAATTATATATCCTTTAATCTGGCACATTATCATTAGACTGAAATTACGTTAAAATTTTAATTACGCCGGGAATATAAAATATTAAATTTTAAACTTTAAATTTAAAATTTTTAAAGAAATTAAAAAATAAGAAGAAAAAAGGAAGAAGATGGCAACTGGATACGACGATTGTTATGATGCTTCCTGGCATCTAATACCACCCGATTATGTCAGCAATGAAGAAGACTATAGGTAAAAAGATATAAATCAAAATATAAGCAAATATAAAAATATAGGTAAAAAGGTATAAATAAAAAAAAATAAATAGATAGACATTCAAACAAAATTTAAACGAATATATATATATATATATACATATATATATATATATGTATATATATATATAAATCGATTAGTATATCCGATTAAGCGAATAATACCGGAAACGAGTTTAAGGACAGTCACGCACATTGGTTGGATCCTTTGGCGTAGAGTGGTACGCCTTGTTACACGATTGTAACACCTAAGAACTATAAGGGCGAATGTGTTATAACACCTGTTGGTTTCCACCATAAATTTAGTATTAATCGCTAGCGATTATTTCCGTCTCTCTCTCTCTCTCTCTGCCTGTCTCTTTCTCTCTTTTTAACTAATGGAGTCAACTTATCATTTTAACACGACAAACTTGAAGCTGCTTGATTTTACTTTGAAAAAAAGAAAAAAAAAAGGTATGGATTCTCTTAAGCACTACTTAAAAAGACGTAAGTAGATCTAAGTTAACAAGCCGTGCTAGGTTCAAGTCACATTTCTTTCTCAGCATGCCGAATACACTTTTTCGAATGAAAAAGGCGTCAAGAATGAAAGAAAGAATTCTTTCGGAGCTTTTCTTCTTTATATGTTTGTCCAAAGGCCTATTTATTTGACCTTTCTTCAATATATATGTATGTGTGTATGTGTGTGTATGCACGCGCGCGTGTGTATGTGTATGTTCGTAGTAAGCAGACCGTACTACGGACAGTATTACTACGTTCATTCATGGATGGTGAGCCGCTCGATCCTTTGTAACGAGTTCATGAATGAACATGTACTACAGCATTTTTCTTAAACTACACCTTAACCCTCCGATATCCGGTTTTTTCATTCCCTCTTATTCTTCAACCAAAAGGCAATTTCTTTTTTTTTCGTTCCAAGAAATTGTTCATTTACTAAGATCGCTTCTACGTACACACACACACACACACACAAATTATCCTTGAAAGTATATAAAAGATTTCATTAGTATGAAAAAATATTGTTTTTATGACAAATTTTTATTTATTTCTAGATCTTTTTTATATAGTATATTAGAATTTTTAGATCGAAAATTTACAGTCATTTTATTAAGAAGAAAATTCTAAAAGTTTCGTGAGAACTTTATTTTTTAAATTTCTTATATTAAATTTACAAAGTTTCTTATGGTTATTTATATATCATATTAATGAATCATCATATCATATAATAAAGTTCTTATCATATATCGACTATATTGTATATTTTACTTTAGAATTTTATTTTCCTTAAATTTAAAAACATTTCTTATCCGAACAAAAGTAACACTTATTCTCAAGTACTGTATCTTTTGTAACTAAATCTCTTTTCAATAACTTTATTGCAATATTGTAATGGTAAAAGGTACTTGAACAAGTACTATGCTCAAATAATATTCTATGGTGGTCAACTGGTAGGTGGACACTCGAAACGAAGACACGAAGATACGGAGACACGAAGAATGCTTTTGACAAATTCCGGTGTCGGCTCCAAAACGTGCCGACTTGAATGAAGGTTCATCCATTTACGAGATATTTCTTTCTATTCAGTATTAACATCACAATATCAGTACCTGTCGGTCAAACACCTGAGACTTCCGAGGGCCACTTATTTATTGCTAGTACGTGCTTACGCAAAATTCGTCGAATATTTCGAGTGGCTCTCATTTTCTCTCTCTCTCTCTCTATCTCTCTCTCTCTTTCTCTTTAAGTACATATCTTACCTTACAAATTTAGTTTATTCACTTTTAAATAATTAGTTATTTTAACAATACCAGATCTATAGAAACTAAATTAAATTAAAAATGAAATAAAAATTTCGATTTCTTATCACGTAAAATCCATAAAACTTTCTTACAAACCATTACAAATGTATCTGAACTCTTATTTCTTTTTATTTTTTTATTTTTATTTTTTTTTTTTTTTTTTTTTTTTTTTTTTATAAAACAAAATAATTATCCCAATCCCTAATTCTTCTGAATCTAATCATATACAAACGAATAAGTTTAGAATAAGTATAGAATAAGTTTCTAAAACATTCTAAACTTATTCTAAAACATTTTTTGGATGATGTATAAGAAGGAACGTTAATTAAAACAATTGTTATCTTATATTAAAATAAAACGAAAAGAAAGTAGGAGTCGCATCCTTGCCAGTAAAACAATGACGCGCAGACAAATTGGGTTGCGTGCTCGAAACAAGTTGGCACAGCTATCGCCAAACAGTCGTGGGAGACTGGCAAATGTTCCTCGATTGCTTGAACCTCCAAGTTCTTCATTTTTCTCTTTCTCTCTCCCCCCCCCCCCTCCTCTCTCTTTCTCTCTCTCTTTACCAACGACTAGGAATGAGGCTCGAAATTTTTCCAGGGTTAACAACAGTAAGAAAGAAGTGGAGAGAAAAGAGCGTGAAGATAATGAAAGAAACAAAAGAAACAAAAGAAACAAAAGAAACAAAAAAAGAAAAAAAAAAAAAGAAACAAAAAATAAAAGTGAATCTACTAAACTCGATTCTAACTGAGTTAGACGGTCAACTACTACAGTAACGAAATTTCTTTCGTGACTCATGGAAGTAAGAATTTTCTTTCTTTTTTTTTATATTTTATCCATATTATATATATATATGTGTGTGTGTGTGTGTGTGTGTGTGTTTTCTTTTTCTATATATCAAGAAGAGAATTTTAGAAGGAAGTCCAAAGAACGATTAGACTCAGAGCCTTAGGAAGCTTTTTGACTTCTCTGAAAATTCGACAAAAGATCCTATGAATGGACCGGAAATTCGCTTGATCCTCTCCCATTTGACCTGTTCCTTTTTCTCTTTCTCTTCCTAAATCGTATAACTTTGAAGATCCGTTTTCTCGTTTTCATGTTAACTTTACGATAAAATACATGCACACATATATTTTTATTTTTTCTCCTCTCATTCGATAAAATCTTACAGCAAATATCGACTTCCCTACGCTAGAAAGAAAGAACTACGCTATTAACCTACTTTTACGTATCGATAGACCTCGATCTAATAAAACGACAGGTACAAATGAATGTGTGTATGTGTGTGTAATAGAGAGAGAGAAAGAGAGAGAGAGAGTGAGAGAGAGAGGGAGAAAGAGAGAGAAAAAGATAATATAAGGTGAACAAAGAGAAGAAGGAGAGAGAAAAGAGAGAATGAAAAAGGAAGAAGAAAAAGTACGAAATGACACGGTAAAAGCACCACTAATGTTCTTCCGCATTAACACTCGAGCTAAAGTATACTTCTCTGTGAAAAAAGGTCTCTGATCGATGAAGCCAGCCGATTGGTTGGCTAGCTTCGAGCTTAGGTCCTGAAAAGCATCGACCTACCCTTGCGGGGATCGACGTTTCTATTGGCTACTACATTGCTCCACCCCCTTTTACTAAGTTACCCTGGTAACATCACTGGTACTGAGGTTAAAATTATACATGATTTTCTCGATTTTTCTTTTCAATTTTTCTATTCAATTAAATGATTTCAAATAATTAAATCAAACCAAATTAAAATGAACAAAATTGTGATCTGAAAAATCTTGATATTCTTTTATTTTTTATTCTTTTTTTTTTTTTATTTCTCTTTTTTAATTTGTATCTCAAGAGAATAATGATCAAATGTGAACTTGAAAATCTGTTGATTATTTAGAATAAATTTGTTCGTAAAAAGAAATAATGGAAAAATGATAGATGCTGATGTTGTATTAGGTCAATTTCCATAAGGGGTGGAAGCAATGGATTCGTTGGCTAAGCGAAACGAGGGGATGAGTATATAAAATCTCCGCCCCTTTTCGTAGAACCGCCCCTAGCTTCGAGGGTGCTTCAGTGAACGAAACGGAACGGAGGTAGGGACACTAGCGGTCAAGTGTTCGTCGAGTACACTCAAAAACGACAAGAAGAGTCCTTCACCTTTTGCGAAAAGGGACTCGAGAGACGAGCTACTTAAAAGTAGGCCGAGACACTTCGTCAGTGAACACGTGAAAACTTGCGAACCGTTCGGATCGGCTTCGTATTTATTTGTGTACGTGAGTGCGTGTGTGCGCGCGCTCGCGCGTGTGTGTATGTGTGTACATTTGTGTATGTGATTTTTTAATTTTTTTCTTTATATTTTCTTTATGTTTCAAATTTCGTGATAAACTGATGTAACAATTTAGAAGAAGAAAAAAACAAAAAAAAAAGAAGGATGAGGAATTGTGAAGTATTATATCGATTCAAAGTTGTGGGATCAAGGTGTGTTTCATTAAGAAACTATAAAAAGAGTGTTCAAGATTAAATTGTTTTTTTTAAGAAAAAGATATGAAACAAATTTTAGAAAGATAAAAATATTAAAAGATAGAGAGAGAGAGAGAGAAAGAGAGGGAGAGAGAGCGAAAGAGATAAAAAAAGATAAAAAAAAATACAAAAGAATCAGAATTTTTAATAGAAGAAAAGTAATCCGTTTAACATGTTCCAACGTTAACAAAAATAGGAAAAGTACGTAAAAACAGACAGTTCTTTAGGAATTTTACAGAAATTAGAAAACAGAGAGAGAAAGAGAGAAAGAGAGAGAAAGAGGGGGGAAGGGAGAGAGAAAGAGGATTTGAATGGAAGAACAGTGATTAGAGATGTTTTAACAACATTAAAGACTCTTGCAAGTCTTAATTGAACTTTCACAATGGCGGACAAGAATAAAATTCTGCCCTGGCCACTTCTACCCTATCCAGCCAGTCTTTTGAATCATGTTTGGTACAGTCAACTCGCATTAAATACTAGGTAATTAATCGATTAAAATTAGCATGTTCTCGTTTACCTCTTTCATTGATTAATTTCTTTTTTCTCATCTTTAATTATTTTTAAGATATTCTTAACGTTGCACGTAAAATATAATCTTTACATAATCGATTAAATATCTTGATAGGCCCACGAATTCTTACACGTGTCTTCGGCAAAGTTCTCATATCGTTTATTTTTTTATCAGATCAAGTATCCGTTTTGTTATCGATACGAAAACGTAACGTAGCTCGATCTTTCGATCTTAACTTAGATCTGATTGAAATCATGGATCAATATAAATTTATTTCATTTATTCTAAAAAAAAATCTTTCGATATGTTACGAATCATTGAAATAAGATCAATGTCATTCAAATGTGTTTCAATTTTCTTTTTTTTCTTTTTTATCACAAAACACGTCTATTTAAAAATTAAATAAAAATTAAATTAAACGAGTTATATTGTGGCAAATATATGAATATATATATAAAAAAAAAAAAAAAAAAAAAGAAAAAAAAAATACATGTGCAAACGAATGTGGCTAATATAAAAGAGAGATTTGAATGCTGGATAGCAAGATAATTCTATCAAGATAAACGAACGAATGAAGAGAATTAGAGTTTACCGTAGAAAAATATGTTCTAAAAACATTTCTTATTTACAAAAGCGATACTACCAAACGTGTCATGATAATAGGTAGTTTGGCTTAAGGAAGAAACGGGAAATATATTTTCTAACAATAAGCTAAAAGTAGCAGGTATTTTTGCGACTGCTCTTCTTTTTAATCGGATTTTAAAAGAAGCTGAGCCTGTGTGGCTTCTTGACGAATCGTCACGTGGCATTGAAAACTCATAAGACAATTTTTCAGAGATTGGATTGGATCAACTTTTTGGGGAATACCCTTCTTAATCTTTTTTTAAAAGTAAATAAGAGTCAGCTTAAAAGATTATCTTTTATTTTTTTTAATCTTTTATTATTATTATTATTATTATTATTATTATTATTATTATTATTATTATTATTATTATTATTTTTATTTTCAATTTCTTTTCTCCCGTTGAAATGAGTATCTGTATTAAACTATAGCTACATCACTTGATATATGTTTATAATTATAATCATATCGAATATATCCTTCACATTTTTGTTTTAGAATATTAGAAAGTATGAAAATGCCAGCTAGAACGTCAGGTTTTCACATAAGTGATATATTAGAACTAAATGATGCTAAACCATCTCAAGAAGAGAATGAAGTTCAAGGTAATAAGAAAATTTTATAATTTTCTTAATGTCCATTTCTTAATGTCTTTAAAAAATATCTACGATCTACAACAAATATAAAATATTGTAGAAGTATTAATTATTGATTATATATATATATATATATATATATATATATATATATATATTTAGTTCTACAAAATGCAAAATACTAACATATTGTGCAAATATCTATCCAATCCTACAAAATGATCTACATGATCTACAATAAATATATCAAATACATTATAGGAAGTACAACTGTTCTACCGACGGCGAATGACGTTCCATCAGCCTATCAACAATTTTTAGAACACACGACAGCAGCCATGTTACAACCTGCAATGCATGCGAATCTTAACAGGGGTAGTTTGCCACCACCACCCCCAGCATTACTTGGCTGGCCAAGTGGACCTACAGCTTTACCAACGACACTACCACAACCTTTAGAAGAAGTAAACAGTAAGAAAGCTATATGAACGAGTTAGTAAGAATTAGTTAGAAAAATGTTGATTTCCATTCGACATCGTTTCGCAAGGGTAGCTACATAGCTAGCTAGCTATCCCTGCTACCTAATAAATAGGGGTGCCGAATATTCGCAGGCGGGATGCGAATCGTATTTATTTAGAAGCCTACAATTGGTCCGCTCCAGCTAAGCAGGATCTAATGGTCCTATAAAAGGTGCTTGTGGCTGCTGTACCACGATTGGCGAGCAAACCAGGACAGATGTCTTTTCGGAGGACAGATGCGTTCACGAGCCCTCGATGAATCCAAATTGTCACGCCCAGAATGTACTACGTTGCCCTATCCCTTTGCCCTTCGTGTGATTTTTTCTTTCTTTCTCTCTTTCCTTTTTTCTTTCTCCCAATCTATCTATCTTCTTGTACTCTCTTCAGGGATATAACTTAGCGTACTTTACACGACCGAAAAATTAGACCGTTGAAAATGTTAGGGATCCTTTTCTATGATAGTGAATCTCATCGATCATCTTGCTAAAAAAAGAAATTGATTTCAATTGCAATAACATTAGAATGACGAGAAGAAGTTTTTTTTTTAATATTTCTTATTACCTTTGATACTATCAACGATCCTTTCTTATTACTGTCAATCACATTTTGCTAAAAAAAAAAAGGAAAAGAAAAAAAAACAAAATCTAAATTAATTTCAATAGCATAAAAATGCAAGAAAAATTTTTTGATAATATTTCTTTTTTTTTCTTACCGTGTTAATTATCAGAAAGATATCAGGTATTGTTTTCTATTATTCCATTATATCTTATCACATTCTGTTGAAATGAAAAATCTAATTAAATTCTAATAATACTAGAAAATAAGAGGATTTTCCAAGAAACATTTTAATGAGAAATCTTAAGTGTGAGATAGTTTAATTGAAATCACAGAGAACATAGTATTAGAAATAGAAACTAATCTCCCATGAAAATGATATGGTTAATCCCATAGGGGATGTTTCAGAGTGTTTCGGCATTAAATAGGCTTTATATTACTTCGCACCCTCTCCCTACGAAAAGGAAACGTTCCACAAAAGCATATTGTACGATTGCGAAAGCCACGATACTTTGGTCTACATTGAATTAGCGAGTTTTACGGTCACCCTATCGGAAGCCTATCACTCTCACGACACAAACCATAAAACAAATAGTAACGATTCTCACCCAACAACAAAAATTCATCTCGTTGAATTTTCCTAAAGATTTTTTTTAATAAAAAGTAACTTATGTGAACACATAAGTTACAAAAAAAAAATGAGTTCACTCTAGTCTCGTAAAACGTTTGAAGAAAAAAAAATCAATGCCCTTCTGCATCTGCTGCCAATCATCGTTAAGAGCTTTCGTGCCAACTTGAAATGCAGCTGCACTCTTTTACACCTTTCATTATCGAGTCCAGCATGATGTAAGCATCCAAAAAGATATTTTCTAAATATCTACTAACTAAATTTATCTTTATTTATATATATAATAATGTAATATTTTTTACAAAAAAAAAAAAAAAAAAAAAAAAAAAAAATAATTATACTGAAATTATGATCAATTTTTGAATGAAAGAGTTAGGACTGCGAGCAGACTTTTTAATATACACATCGAAATTAAATTTTAAAAAACGCAGATCATAACAGTAAAAATTTCATGATAATCGTCGAATCTCTTCAAAGAAGCATGTGAAGGAACATCGCGTGTTGTATTGTGCTTACAGTTCTCCAACAGCCAGACTCGACGAGTCCAGCAATCTCAGAGCTATCCTTCCCGTCGCAACAAGAGAACAGTCACGAGTCTAAGGACGAAGAGTCACAGGATTTCGAGGAGGAACATCCAAACGGTGAAACACAAAGTCACGAGGCTGAACATAAAAAGAGGAAACGACGAGTATTATTTTCTAAAGCTCAAACTTATGAGCTTGAGAGAAGATTTCGTCAACAGAGATATCTCAGTGCACCGGAAAGAGAACACCTAGCATCGATTATTCGATTGACCCCAACGCAAGTTAAGATTTGGTTTCAAAATCATAGGTATAAGACGAAACGTGCGGCAACTGAAAGAGTCGAAGCTGGTGGAAGTGGTTGTTCACCAAGAAGAGTAGCAGTTCCAGTGTTAGTAAGAGATGGTAAACCATGTCAATCAAAACTGATGGAACCAACAACTTATCCCGGGAATGGTCAAGTGCCTATGGCTCCTTACATGCAAAAACCATACTGGTGGTAAGACTTAATTGATTAACAAATATGTGAGGTCGCATTAGGACGGCCTTGAACACCTATATAAACCTCGTCAGATCTAGTCAGGATTAAGGCGTTATCAATGAAGAATAGAAAAAGTGATGTTTTAAGAGATCCTGACTGAAAATCAATGAACAAGGGATTCATTTGTTACCTTCATTAAAAAACCAAAGAGAATTTATTTGGGACGATTTAAATAATTAAATGCTCGTCTCGTATTAAAAGAATTCCTGACGAGAATGTGATCTTAATAGTGCGAATGGAATGAAATAATACAAAAAAGAAATAAAATAAATAAAATAAAATAAAATAAAATAATAAAAATAAAAATAAAAATAAATAATCATGTAAATTCGATCTCGTATAGATGAATGTGTAATGACTCTTATTATCTTCGTATAGGACGTAGTGTGATACGTACGAATGAAAGTCCAACTTTACGTACTTTAATTTGTCTTGTTCTTTTTTTTTTCCTTTTTATTAACAAATCGTCTAAACGAAAATTAGAAAAAGAACAATATGAGAATGATATATCAATCTAATTCAATTTCTATGATAGAAATCTCTTCGAAAGATTGATATCTTTGTGATCCATCGTATCTACGATTTTTAATTGTTAATGTGTAAAAAGAAGGATTGCACAAGTTCGTCCTTCAATAGTCTATTAGACAATTATTTCAGTAGATTGTGTATATATGTACATTCTGTATAATACATGGTATAAACTAATATATATACATATACATATATATATATATATATATATATATATATATACATATACATATAAGTATATATGAGAAACATATTTAATAAATTCTAATCCCAAGAAAATACATCTAATATTATTCTTATCACTAATTCAATGGCCGACGGTTTATTAGACGACTATCTATCGAGCCCTTTAAAGGGCTACTGTGCGCTTCTTTTCTACTGCTCCTTTCCTTTCCCTCTTTCGATGCACGTCGGAAGCCAACGTAGCTTGAGTGACAAGCTTCCGGTTTCCGTTTCCCTGCAGCCATCTTGTTACCGGTTTAGATTTCCTGAAAGCACCCTATCGTGCTTTGCTAAGGGTCACTAGCCTTTTAAGACGGTCTCTCATATACAACGAAATATACCTATAGATCATTTATTTAAATCGAGATTTTATTTTGAAATCGTGCAATTTTTTTTTTCTTTTCTTTAGATAAATTTTTATTAAAATCTTCACAGTAACAGTCTATATAAAGATATATATTTTTTTTTTGTATGTTTCAAATCATCTAATTTTCTTTATATCGAATAGAAAAATTTATATACATACACACTCACACAGAGAATAATATTTCTAGATAGATATTTCTTTTTTGATATTTTTTAAATCTCACCTAATTTCCTTGATTTTTATTAGAAAAATTCTAATATAAATTTGAACAGTAACAATAACAGTATCGGTGTTTGTTTTTTTATATTGTCATTATATTTTTTATTTTGATTAGAAAAATTCTAATCAAACATTACTCTACATCACAATATTAATCTACATAGAGAGAGAGAGAGAAGTATTTTTCCTATTTTTTGAAAAAAATTTATTGCATTGAGAACACTAAAAACTTTCCAGATTTCCTATAAAAGGGATTAAAGATGAGCCCCTTTAACATTTACTATCTCTTCTCGTTATCCGAAATATATAACGAGAGAGATGACGTAGCGAAGTAAATGGAGTGGACAGCGGCCAGCATATGCTTTGTGGCGATCCTTGAAAAGAGAGAGAGAGAGAGAGAGAGAGAGAGAGAGAGAGAGAGAGAGAGAGAGAGAGAGAGAGAGAGAGAGAGAGAGAGAGAGAAGTAATGTACAAAACGAAAGCACCCCCGAGCAAAGAAGAATATGTGATGTCGAGGCCTGCGAAATGCCACTGTGCATTCAACCGAAAGCATGAGATAACATTCAACCAGCTACACTAGGTCGTACCATGATTTATATGACCGCCTGTAATCTATAGATTTGGACATAGTCCACTGACCTTTAGGTACCATCCCCACCCTTCACTATGAAGACATTTTTATAACGAAGAAAATCACTTGCTACCTTCAAAATCTTTCTACAAATTCATACTAAACTCAAAGAGAAAAATATTCACCATTAAAAATAGAAAATTTCCATGGGTCAGTATATGTATATACACAAATATATTGTAAGGCAATCGATAGAAGAAAATAAATTGATAGTTTGTCGAGCAACGGGACGTCCCCTAATATTTCCGAATCTAATCGAGGGGGTGTGTTAGCTGTTACTACTCTTCGTGAAGCAAGAAAAAAAAAAGGCTAAAAAGAGATAGAAAGAAAGGCTGATAAAAGAGAAAAAAACGAAAAAACTTTAACAATACCGTTGTAGAGAAGTGGATGGGGGTTGAAAGGGCAAGACTGTGTTCCGGACTGCTTTATTGCCTGATTTCCGTGGGGTGGACCTTACGTATAAAATGTAAGAGACCTTCTTTTTTATCTTTCTTTCTTTCTCTCTCTCTCTCTTCGATTCTACAAATGACATGATCAGTGACATTATTCTTCACATAAAATGTAACAAATATAATAAAAAAGAGAAAAGCAGAACCCTTTCAACAACCCTTTCGCTGATAATCTTAAAGATCTTGAAGGTCGTGCGACTACTACATTTCATGGTAAACAATCGCAATGTACAATCTACCGGATATGACCTTCCTTTTTTACATATTTTTTCAAGCCAATCAAATGGCACGTGTCTATGTCACTTTGGAGGATACTGACACACGCGACCGGAAAGAGCATCCTAATTGCTATCGATTTTATTTTTGATAAGTATTTTTTAAGAACTCGCTATTCTACTTGTTAGAGTGAGAGAAAGACAGAGAATTCTTTAACGATTTTTCGGCATGCCAATTCTCTATACATATATATGCATATACACGCATATACACATACATATAAAATCTTCTCTTTCTTTTCAAAGTACAATAAACGAACAGACATACAGAAAGTTTAGACGATTGAAAAACTTTTGCGAAGTTCTACCTAAACCCTTGACACTTTTTCTACTTTTTCGTTAGGAAAATCGAATGTTTGGATATATTCAATTGAATCTATCGAGAGATATTAGAATTGTAGAAATGAAGAAAATAAAAGGGATTCGTAAAGTATAAAATCGAAGATCTAATAGTAAATTATAAAAAATCTTCTTCTTCTTCTTCTTCTTCTTCTTCTCAAGATATGAAGCTAAGTGCAACGAGATATTGGATGTTTGCCAGAAGGAATTGTATTGGTCGAGATTATAAGTCTTTGAGGGTAGAAAAAGCACAGAGAGTAGATTAATCAAAGGAGAAATTCCGGGCGACGAGCAACCACCGACAAAGCATATTCCCCGCTAAGAATGGATCGTTTCCGGTTCCGTTCTCTTTATGGTACATTGCGGCTCAGCGATGTATTAAGATTACTTAATCAATAAAATCCCGAAGAAGAACGAAAAACTAAATCGTTTTTCACTTATTATACCTTGCAGTAGATTTTCTTCGAGATTTTTTACATTCGAGAATTTTTTATTATTCATGTTAACGTTTAACAAATTTGTAGAATTTTCACATATTTTTATATATTTTTATATAAATGTATTTAATGTATAGATTTCGTAGTTTGTACGAGACACGTGTGTCAAACGAGAATGGTTTAAACGAGTAGGGTAGTTAGATAAACAAGAATTTGATCGAACCGTTAAAATGACCAAACATTGACACTCGATATTAATGCTCTCACTCTCAATTAACGGTAAGAGATACACACACACACACACACAAAGAGAGAGAGAGAGAGAGAGAGAGAGAGAGAGAGAGAGAGAGAGAGAGAGAGAGAGACATGTATCTAAATTGATATAACATTTAAGAAAGAATTATAATTATAATAATGTATCTTGAATTAGATAATTTCGCATAAATTACGGTTATATTTTTAAGTATTAATAACAAAAGATAATATTTATCTTAAAGAATGATCTCGCAGATGTTTGAAATATCGATCCAATTCGCTTTAAAATTCTTTTGTGTCGTCCTTCCTTGAAGGAGATAGAAACTCTTGTAAATCAGTGGCAAACGGTACAGAAAAAAAAGTTGTAGGACCTTTTCCGAGCGACGGCTCGCTTTAAGCAGATTTAGCCGCGAAACCAGGAAACGTTTAAGAGGGTGAAGCACAACTTCGAATTAGGGGTTGGTGCAAAGTAGCTGAGATGAAGGAAAAAGAAAAAATATATCCCTTCCTTTCTATCCATGTTTTCTCTAGATCCATTGATATAATAGACGACCCATTCGATCCTAGATTTTCGATCTCTTATTCGTTTATTCTGTATCTGAAATTTGTTTTTCTACAAGATACTTCCTGATTTCTAAATAAATCTTTGTCAAATTCGTGTATTTTTATGTGTGTTCAATTATGGTAATCTAGTATCTGTATAATAGAGAAATATATATTATTAGTAATTCTTTTATATTATATATATATATATATATATATATATATATATTAAAGTTTTCCTATGAATCGAGTATAGAATATATTCACAGTATTCTCTACTTGTCGTAAAAGGCGACTAACAGGAATTGAGTATTAGACTGACAATTCAACCTTGTAAAAATTCACTTGTTACAGAAATAACAGGATAAAAAACAGACTGATAAAATAGAAATAGGAAGAAGGTTATTTCTAACAAAGATCACTGGCGCAAATCTTGAAGGAGACCAAGGTCTAGCATAGGCTGTATGCATCGGTTGAAAATAAAATAAAACATTGTTCCAACATGAATTTATTTCATCTTTTAAATTTGATTAAAAATAGTTATAAAATGTATATTAAATTGACATTAAATATATGGTCATGGTTTTTATGAGCAACGATAAGTAAAAAAGGCATTGAAAGTCGAACGTTTGCCACTGCCAATTCGAAGAACCCTAATTTGATGAGCACGTGTCGACCAATGACACTCCCACGCCCTGTTCTCGCTATTTTCCGTCGAGTTACAATGGAACGTACTATATGACACACGTATAAACCATTAAAAGATGGTTACGCTGATATCCAGGCATATGTGTACGGAAGATCGCGTGAAAAAAATTGTCAAGGAGAAATTCTATTTGAAAATACTTGCTCTTTCTTTTGTTTCTTTTGTCTTTAACTTTTTTTAATTTAATTGTGGTTTATTAATAGTTATAAAAATCATTGTCATATCTAATTTAAAGAAATACTTAAAGTAACATACAATTTACTTATGATTTGTTGATTATTAAAAATACTCTTAATTGATACATTAAGAAAAAAAAATTAAAATACTTCATTAACAATCTCTAACAATAATAATAGTATTAGAAAACATCCCGTTCGACATTTTTTTCATTCGAAATCCCGAAGATTATCTTCGAAGGATTTACTATAGCCCAAAATTGTCATGAAAACACTTTCATTGAAGTTTGGCGTTAGCGCGTGCATTGATTTGCCGCTCAATTTCCTTCGAATATTCCGTTCTAAAGGACACCTCCTGCGAGAAGCTATATCCCTCTCTTTCACTCTTTCTCACCCTTAAGCCGACGTTTACTAAAATCTGGATACAATACAGTTCGAAACGCAGTTGCCTGTTTGGTAAGCCTGTTAAACGCAAACATTTGCAACAATACAAGCTGAAAGTATATTTGAACGAAATAGTACTTTGCTTTTTGGGATAAAAAGGGCTGGGGTGTTGCCCTTAGCCAGCTCGATTATACACCGTACAAGCATCGGATCTTCTTCATCGTAAAAGAAACTCGAATGAGAAGAGAGAATCGTCATCAGAAAATGAGAAAGAAAGAGATAGCGAAGGGTCGGCCTCCCTTTACGTTCTACTTCTCTTGTCCTCTCACCTGGGCAAAGGCGTGGCTTTTGCGACAGTGGTCGATAACGCTGCTACCGGCAGCAGGAGGGGTGAAATGTACCCCTACTTTCAGAACCACCAAAGATTTCCCTCCTGAAGGTAAGTGAACGCAACGAGAGCCTTCCTGCGAAGTACTTCTCTGAAGATTCTTGGCAACTATCCAATCGTTTACTGTTTATACACTGATTTTCTTCTGTACATAAAAAGGTATTTTTAAGTTATTTTATATTCCACCTTTTCCCAATAAGTTATGAAAGAATTTGCAGTATTTTATATTATATTTATATGTATTCAGAATTTTTTTACTAAAATTTTAATATTAATTATTGACAAGTCTAATATTATAATATACTATAACAATACTATGATATTTAATAGAAAACAATAGTAGTTATAATTAGGTGAAATATTCAATTATAGTAATAATAAATGATCAAATTTTTGATCAAACAGATATATACTTAACTGTAAATCTTTTTTTAACAATAGACCAGAGGTCGTCTAGATTGATATAAATGTTAAAAAGATTTTCTTAACACCTATAAAATAAAATTTGAGTTAGTTTAAACCTATAGCAAAGAGTACCTTGCACAATAACATTTTCGTTTGGATTTCTTCCAAGGTCATTTTTTGAAAAATAAGGCTTATTTAACACACACGAGCTTTTATAAAAAGAATTTACACGAGTGACGAAAACTATTTGGAAAAGGTCTCGTTGAACTTGTCACTAGTCAAGGCTAACGCATTTCGTGTAATAACACTCGAACACAATAAGCATGCAAGTAGATATTATATTGCATCTACTATTGCATTTAATTAATCTCCAAGAAGGAACATTCAAGGAACCAACTTCATTAAGCTTTTAAATGGTTGAAGAACTTGTTTTGTAGTTTAGAGTAGTAGCTTCCGATGAGTATAATTTACTGTTAAGTAATTTACTATAATTAATAGTAAATTAATTTAATTAAATAAATTTAGCTAAAAAAAAAAAAAAAAAGAAAAAAAAGAAATAAAGAAAATTGATTTAACACATTATCTTTAATTAAAAATTGGAAATGAATAAAAAAAAATGTTTTGATCAAAGTGGACTGCAATGCCTATAGCTATAATAAATCAACATAATTATCATGACTAGCGTATATCATAAAGATCATGATGATCTTATCAAAAAATTCGAGGGTAGATCAATTGGAACTGTATCATACACTAACGATACGATCACGATATCGAGCTTATATCAGAGGGTTGAATAAGTCGTTCTCTGGTAGGCGGAGATTCAGCTAAAAACATCGTGTCAGCTTTACGCCGCTAAAGTGCAGATTTGTGTTAGCGGAAGTGAGGTAATAGCTTGCATGGAAGCTCATCGTTGTGTCTGTGTCCTATTGTCTCATGATCCTCTAAAGCTTCAGCGTATGAGTGTGTGTGTATCTACATGGAAAAAAAAGATGATTAATAATTAAAAAATCAATTTGATATTTACACTAAACTAAACAAAAAAGAAACAAATTTGATGGAAACTTTATAGCGTGCTATCTATAAAATATAATCTAAAAATCTCATTTAATATTTACAATAAACTAACAAAACAGAATTAAATGAAAACTTTATAACGCGTATTTATACAAAGTAAGAAAAAATAAGGACAATAAAAAATCCATCTACCATATATACACTAAGCTAAATACCAAAAAATTGGTTGAAATTTATCAAAAGATCGTCACCTTTTCAGACACGTTCAACAAAGAAAAGTTATCGCTAGGTATTTAGCAAACCGACAAGTCCCTTTAACGTCGTATCTAACAATGTCCAAGTTTTCCAGCCGTTTCCTACGAAATCGATCGAAGGTTCGGTATAAAAAGAAAACCATGCCACAGGACAGGCCGCAAAACTTGGACAATGGAAAACACATCCGGCCAATTGTCACGCCCATGAACCTCGACTTTTCCTAGTTACTCCTCCTCTCTTTCTCTCTCTCTCTCTCTCTCTCTCTCTCTCTCTCTCTCTCTCTCTTTCTCTCGATCGTGTTCTCTCAAAGATTCTAGGCTGTTTTTTTTTGCTGATCAGTAGTAGCCTTACTCGTGCTTGGTCAAGCAGCAAATCGAGGTTCCAATCAATGAAAAGGAAATGTTTATGTCTTCATTTAGAAAAGTGCATGCGTTTATTCTTTTCATGTTTCCACTTTTTTCAATCGATGTTTTGGAAGAATCTAAAAAAATAACAAAAATCATTATTTCTAGATCACATCTGTACAATTTTATAAATAATACAATTTAACGAATTGTTATAAGATAAAAGAAAAAGGTGTATATTTAGGACTAGCCTTGGTGCAGTTGCCGATCGAAATAGAAAGTCCCTAATATGTCGTGGTAGGAACGATAAATCAAAATTCTTTCTAGACCAGCTGCTAAACAGCAGAGGATCCCATCGATCGCGTGTAACCGGTATTATATTGTAGCATCCTCATCGTCAGGCCCGTTTAAATGGATTTAAACTGGAAGGAGATGGCCCATTGGAAAAGAGAGGCTCTTTGCCGTCCATTTTAAGGGCTTACTGAAAGAAGGAAAAAACGTT